AAAAAAGTAGCGGATGGATTATATAGGCGATGTAGATGCGATAATTCTCGAATAATTAACGATAAATAAAAATAAATCTGAATTAGCGATAATAAATAAAATTTCATAATTTACCCACGTTCATTAGCGTAATAATTCCGCACATGAAATTTATCTGTATCACCTAGCAAGGCTTATCGTTATGCATAACTAATTTGTGAGACGGGGCACAAGTAGAAATTGCCATTTTTCATTTTTCGACCGGGGCGCCCCGGCTGAAATTACAGTACCTAACCAAAGTCGGTCAATTAACTCATGCCACATCTATTCTTCATTTGTGGAGAATTCGACCGAAACCTTATCAGGCCTAAATGCGCACAATGTATGCATGTACTATGAGTATCAAGTCCCTTTAACCTTACATGGCTCTATAACTCGTGATGCATACATTTACAAAATTTATAGAATTCTTTGCATCATCGATAGAAATTTCTCTGCGTGGAAATACATGCCTCATAGAAATTTTTTGATGTAAGAGCACATGTTTTTGCTTCTATCTAACCTTTCTAACAGTTTGAGTTTCAGAGAAGAGATGAAGAGAAATATATAAAAAGGCAGTATCTCGAATTTATTGTTATTTGTCGCTTACTAGTGATTGTTTCTTGCATTATTTCTTGCGTCAAACTATAAATTAATAACTCATTTCACCATGTCCAATTCTACCTTGTATAAAACCTTTTATAATTTTTTACTCGAGTCACCGCCAGCACATATCACAGCATTTTCTGTCATTTATCAAGTAGTAGAGGATGATACGTGGAATTCAAAAGATGATTTAAGACAAGCGGTTCACCAGGCAGTTACAGAGCTAAAAGGCGGTTATGATAAGAACTCAGAAAAGTATCAAAAACTTGATGAAATCTCTTTGAAAGTTAGTAATTAATCTATTATCATGTTTTAACACCAACTGATGATTGCGCAAAATAACATATAGCCAATCTAAGTGAACACCCATGAGCCTTGTGGGCACAGGGTTAATCAAATTTATTAATTCCTCAGACACAAGGGGGTGGGATCTTAGTTCTGGCTTGTGATGAAATATTTATACCATTCATGTATATTGTCAATTGTATGCTGGCCACATATGGTTGACAATTTTACATGAAGTATTCTGATGGGTGTGCGCACACTATTATTATACAAGTTTATCTGTACATACTAACATAAGGTTTTTGCGCTAGTTCGATGATGCATATGAAGGTGTATGCAGTCTTAGGAATATCAGAAAATCAAACCAAGAAGACGAACTCACTCCGAATGAAATCGAGACGAACTTGCGATCATTAAAAACTAATCTTGCAAGTAGCGAAGCTCCATATGCACAACATTTTCGGAAGTATTTAAAGAAAAAGAAGAATACCTCAAACCTATCATGGGAAGTCCCACTTGCAAGTCAAGTAATTTGTGCAGATTCAGAAATGGTGAAGTTATTAGAAGAAGAAGACGTAGAAGCATACAACTTTTTTATGGTAAGAAATTTTAGAGCCTTATCTAGTTCCGCTAATATATTTGTTATATTATCAAACTAGAATTAACGTAGCTATTATTTTAAACTCAATAGGACCCTGCGGAACGTATGAAAGTAGCAACTCCTTCCGTTATAAAAAATAAGTGTGATGAGTTTGTTATTAACTTCATGGACAGTATTATGGATATTCCAGATAACAGATTTTCGCACGATAAGAGCTGGAAGGAATCTGACGAAAATCTCGCAAAAGTTACTACGGACATCCTTGAAATATTGTGAGTATTTAAAAATAATTTGCAAATTCGGTTTGAAAATGTTTTTAATAATATTCTTTTATAGAAGGGATGTCTGGAAAAATCCAGCTTTCGGACAGAAGTTAGCCAAATCGCAAAGCGAAGGTACATACATGACCAATGTGATTGTTCCATTGATTCGTGCATCATTAAAAGACCTTCCAATTGGAAAGTCTGGCTACATTAGCACAGCGGAACGAGAAAGTATAGCCAGTAAAGACCGAAGAGGGGTTGGAAAGCGACCAGATATTATGTTTATCGCCAGTTGCAATAATAGGTCGTATGAACTAATATTTGCTGAGAGTTCTCGTATCGTTTGTGATAAACAAAAAAAGGATGATGATGAGGTGAAATTATGGAGGGAGATGAATGATGGTATGTACTGGGCTCACAAAGGATGTAAACCAGACAAAGATAACTTCAGTATCATTGGAATTCAAGTTCGAGGAACCGAAATGCGCCTAAATACTATTGTTCGGGGCGTGGACGAAATAGATAGACTCTATAATTTATTTACAGTTGAGATTCCAATACAACCAACGGATGAAGATATTGTTTTTAGATTTGTGGAAGCATTATTGACATTACGGGTATGATATCCTACTCAAATTTGTAGATTTTTTTTAAGCTTGATAAGTAATTTTATAAATTATATAGAATATCCTGCACGTCAATATATCTCTCCTGTTTTATGCACCCCCAGTTAGTTCAAGTAGTAATACAGAAAATAGTTCTACGGTATCTTCTCCACGTAGAGAAGAAGAAAAAATAAGAACAAGAAAGGTAAGTGACGTAAATCCTCCTTTGCATGAAGGCAGGGTTTTAAAGAAGAAAAATAGTGCAATGTTTTAGAATATATATATCTTCCTGTATTTTTTTTTCATTTTGTACATTAATAAAGCTGGCCCTGGTGGCTGATTTCGCATACATAATCGCGTTTACTTTTGCGTATATATTTCGTGAATTTTGGGATTTTATTCGTTTGATTTCGGTAAACATAATATTTTTTGACGACGGCCCTTCGCTGAAATTTTCGCTACTTTGTTATACATTTTAAATAAATAATAGGATAATAAAATCTATTATTAAAACATGCAATCTGAAATTGATTTGTTGAGACAACGAGTTGTTGAGCTTGAGGGTGAGAATGTGAAACTAAAACAGATGATAGAAGAACACACTAGATGCGAAGCTGAGAGTGTTGAAGTCAAGGCGGAGTTAGAGAAAAATAAAACTGCTACCGCCAACCTCATTGCTGAGAATGCTGAGCTTAGAGACAGAGTCACAAAATTGGAACAGAAGCAGACACCAAATGATGCTATGCACGGATCTTGCCGAGCAAGGGATCAAAGCTCCTTGACACCCGGAATTTCTATTACTACCAGTCCGTCCAAGCATAAATCGTTAGAAGATATAGAAACTGATAATTTTCTGGATATGCAGAGTAAGGAAGAGGTTAGTAATATGATGATAAAGAGGAATAGAGAAAAGAAACTTCAAACTCAAGAGCTACATAGTACACCCTTGCCAATGTCAATTCCACTGATACCATCCGAAGTATCAATTTCTAATATTTATGATGGAGATAATTCATCCGTATTATTGCGAAGTAATGACACTGACGTGCCCGAATCTCTGGATTTGAAAACTGTGAAAAAGCTTTGGGATCAGAATCAAAACAAAAGCCAGGACAAAACATCTCAGCACCAATTTACTTTGTCAAGATCGCACAAGAAAAAGGGAACAGAAAATATCGCTCAAGTGATAGTTGATGGCATTCAGGATAATAATAATCTTTTAGATGAATCGAAGATGAGACATAGTCTCGAGGCTTTGCCTCTTCAAAGCTTTGCTTCCTCAAACCATGTTACTGAAATTTCGACGACGGCCCTTCGCCAAAATTCTTCTACAGTCTTGTTACTCGATTTAGCACAATTATTTGATAAGGCAACTGATGCTGAATATAGCGCTATAAAAGCTAACCAGGAAGAAACCTTATGCTGGATTAACTATGGAAATGAGTTCATAATTCAGTATAATGATATTATAAAAAATAGCAATGGCAAAATTGGCGAGAAAAAAGCAAAAGGTATAATTTATGATAAAATATTAGAGCATCTCATTATTATCCGTGAAAGAAGGTCCAAGGAAATGGGATTACAGCTCCCAGAAATTTCGCGTAAAACTTTATGCAAAAAGACCCAAAAGGCCGTAAGGACTTATAAATTATTTGACAAAATAGGTATAGATAAAATTAAATATCTTAAAGCATATAGCGCAAATTCTATTTCAGAATTGACCAACGAACAAATTCAAAAGATAATATTTCTAATCATGAGTCTAATATAGGAAATCACATGACTGAAATTTCAACGACGGCCCGTCGCCAAAATCATACAACCGAAATTGTGAGTACTTTACCAGAAACTAAGGTAAGTGCATTTTCTGAGAAGTTATCACCGGAAAAATCATCAGAAACGATTTCAGAGGAATCAACCGAGGCAAGCGCATCATCCAATCCAACCCATGACCATGCTTACTTTCGTAATAAGACACTGTTGCGATATTCTGATCTATATAAAGCATTTATTACTGAAAAATTTGATCATTATGGAATTATTGAGGGTTCATTATGCCCAGTATGTAAACTAAATCATGATGAGAAAAGTGTAAAAGGTAGATACGAGGCTGGATCTTATTTTATTATATGTGGAAAGCAAGAAATCAAAATGACAGAATAAATCGTAAAGTCACCCATGTGACTGCCTTCGGCAATTCTCTGGTTTCATTAATTGACGATATTTATTTATTTTTTTAATTGCTATTTTGGGATATGCAATGTATAAATGAGACTAAAACACAACCCATACTTAATTTGAATTTGCGATTATAATATGGATAAAGCCTATTTCGGAGAAATGACACTTCGTGCCTTAACCCCTGAATATTTGGACTGGTATGCTAAATTGGTTGAAGTACCAAGTTCTTTGACTGATAAAATTCGGTTGATCTTATATAGAGCATATATGGAAGAGACTGGGCTCGATCCCTGGGTAAAGCCTGAATCTTCACGAATCAAAAAGGATGCTGATGATCATATCTTACAGGACAGTTTACCAGACACTCAGGTAATGGCACCAAATAAAATTTACACCTCCCCAATTTCCAAGACTGATTCAAACAAAAATCGCCTTCATCAGTATGCCATCGAACATGGAATAAATCCCAAAGAATTTTCAATCACTACAGAGGCTGAGAAAAATAGGTGGGCCATGGGGTGTTTTCGTGGGGATTTGGAAAGAGATATACATTTCTATCATGGCGCAATAGAAAGAAAAGAAGATCCTAGAAAATATCGTAAATTTTTAACAGATCGTGATAGGCTGGTTGGTGAAGAGTTATTACGTCAAGGTATACTAAAAAGTGGTTTGAGTACTGCATGGCTCGATGATCTTATGGAAGAATGGGAAAAAATCCATGCTCAATTCACACAGATATCTTTTGAGGAAAAGACTTTATTTGTACCGCAGGTAAATGTTCAATCTGGACCATCCAAACTTCGATCACCAATTTCTATTCTACCTAAAGACCT